AAAACCCTCAATTCAATCATCTCGGCCTCAAGATGTATGAGATTTCAAGTCTTGAAATGTATTATTCAGACCGTCAATTTTCAAGTGTTTTATCTACACTATTTTTTAATCTTTAAATTTTATAATTAGAAATTAAAATAAATTTTTAGGCAATCACTAAGATTTTTAATATGAAACAACATGTTTCGACCCAGGTGTGCCTTACTTTGATTGGTTAGAGCATCAGCCTTGTACAAACAACACCCATACTTAAATCACATTATAAAAAATAAAAAAATACTAAATAGAAGGTACCAACTAAAAATAGAAAAAAAATAGCTTGACACTTTAACTCAATCAAGTTATTGAAATCTAAGCCAATTAAGAATTAGGTTATCCATATGCAATGTATTGTGTAAATGCAAAGCAATTTGTATGGTAAGTTAATGAAATGCTTTATATAAAGGCATTTAAAAATCAAGTTATTCAAATGCGAGGCACTCTTTAAGTGCAAATAAATTTTTGACATGACATGATAAAAATTAACAACAAAATACATTTCATCAATTTACAACTAAACACCCTCACACCAATAATCACATAACAATGCCAATGTGAGCCAACTTTCATTGTATCTATCTTGATCAATAAGTCAAGTTGAATCCACTCAAACTAACATCAACTTGCTAGTGAAAATGACCGGAATCAATTGAGTCTTATTAAATAGTCATCGCGTGCAATTTCATTAAAACATAATAATTGATCTCCTCCAATATCCAAAATAAACTAATTGATCTCCTCCATTATGTTTGATTGGAATGTAATGGAATTAAAATGCCGAAGATAATTTTATGGTATTTAGAAATAAGAAACCAATCACACTATCAGCGCATGTAAAAATAACTCATTCACAGCATATACATGTCCACAAATTAAACATCAGGCTATATAGAGTTCTGAAGCTCGGGCCCAATGGGCTGGATGGATTCCTAATTAGGCCTGCATAGAAGGGCCCAATCTTTGCGGATAATATTTTGCAGGCAATGGCTTAAAATGATTCATAATCAAGTTTTTATTACCTTTTCAAGCCTGGGTTAGATAAGAGTCTGGCCTGAATCTCACTCGGGCTCTTAGAGCCGAAGCCCAACAAGACAAGACAGCCTAGATACCTGGGCCAGCCAAGGCTAATGGTTAGGCATTTGGCCGGTGCTCAATCCTCCAATTGATATTTGTAGCTTTTTTTGGTAGGTCAATGTTGGGTTTTGAACATGGCCATGGCCGAATCCCATCCTTACAAGAAGAAAAAAAAAACACTAAACGACCATATAAACGGTCTCTTGTGTGTATAGTATGCTCCACAGAAGCGTGCTCTATGCTAACTCCCTTGGGCAAAATAGCCGCTTGGGAAGATTTCACATAAGAAATCTGGGCTCCAAATCAGAATCGATAGATGAATTGAAATTTGTGATCTTCGAACACTTAGATCTTGCTCTTGAAAAACGCATGGTCCCTGTTCAATATTGGGACATTATTTTTTCGAGCACGTACAATGCGTCATTTATTTTCTTTGTTTTTTAGGTTAGTCGCTCATTTGAAGATGTTATTATATCATCAAAATTTGAGGTCCTAAAAAATACTTCTAGGCGTTAATCCAAGAGACAGTATATGCTTCCACTAGAGCATGAAATGACACTAAAGTCTATTTTTTGCAATATTATCATTTGCTTTACATTAGTTTTGTCGAAATCCATTGTCTAAATGACCATACGTTAAGCAACCTGACAAAGAGTTTAAATTTTGTATTTGTTTTATTAATTATGGACCAATCACATTTGAGAATGACAAATCAGGATTCGTGTAGCTGACTCCAAAAAACCACGATGATAATGATGATGATTTGTATATCAATCCTATTTGAGAAGTATCAGACCGAGGACGATTCAGGGTCGGATTGTTACTCTTGAATCACACTGACTATGAATCAAGCCTCTCGTGCATGTTTAGTTTGGTTTATCATTGGGAATTTGCGCTAAACTTTTCAAATGCTTATTATTTTTGGGATAAATACCAATTCGTGTAACCAAACTCTTGTTTTCCACTTTTGCACGTGAGGGAGTCCACTTCTCGTGTGTTATCCGTGCTTACATGATTTTCATTTGGATTTTGTGGTAAGCTAAAAGATTTTATACTCCCACTGGAGTGTACTATCAAGTTACTTCCTAGGCTAAAACCTAATATAAGAGTAATTTTAGGACATCTAGTTTTGGGGAAGCAACTTCTTTAATTAGTAGGTGAAAAAAAATTTGGAATTAAATTCTCTTTGTACTAAATGACTCAAGATTGAATAGAGGCCATCAAATTTTTTTATGGTGAGATTTGAGTGTTGAAAAACACAAAAACTCAATAGTTTTCTTTTAAAAAGAATTCCCAAAATTTTAGACTGGAAAAAAATCTCATAGTTAGATAATTTGACTAAGGGAGCAGATGCACAATATGCTCCTGCAAGAGCATGATGAGGTGTTGGTTGTAATTTAGAAGCATGTTTTTATTTGCGGGAAAGGTTTATGTACTTCCCCTCCAGTATAGAAGATCTATGCTTCCCCTACCATCCAGCCGTCCAATTTTGATAGCCATTCACCGTTTGATTTTAGATCTGACGTCTTAAAGTATTTTATTTTTAGTTTTTTTATACAAATTGTATGAATATGAAATTTGGTGCGTGTCATCTTCCCATTGGGACGCACCTATAAAAAATATGTAAAATAATTTTTTGATAAAATACAATAACCAAAATACCTCTTGAAACTTTCAAGGGTATTTTGGTCATTTTATTTTATTGAAAATATTTTTTAATATTTTTCGCTAATGCTAGTTTAATAGAGGATTGGACGTACAAAATTGTTATGGAAAAAAAAATTAAAAATAAAATTGTATAGTGACGTGATATTGTGATTGAGACAATCTTAGCCCTCCATTCAAAATGGGCGGTAGGATAAGGGGAAGTATATAAATTTTATGTTGTAGGGGAAGTTTAGAAAGCTTGCCCTTTATTTATTGTTTCTCAATTGGTTACTGTCAGTTTTAAAGAGTTGTTCTTGGGCAAAACACCTAGATAGGGTTGGCAAGCCGTGGGCTTCCCCTGGACCTAATCGCCATAGGGCCAGCCAGGGCCACCCTAAACTTGACTGGGCTAAAGAGACCCTGATTCCATTAGGGTGGGCTGGGCTGAAAAATTTTATGAAATAAAGAAAAGTATAAAGAACAAAGGGTCGTGCCTCTCTGGGCCCAATGGAAAAAATATGAGAAAATAAAAGAAAAATATAAATAATAAAAGGGTGCAGTTGGTATACGGATGCATCAGTAGGTGTAGAAGTAAGGTGCACCTTCAAATTTTATCATGGTATATAATTTTGATGTAAAATGTTCTTAAGATTATCTCAAAATCTATTTTTATATCTAATTATAAAATTTAAAATTTCAAAAATAGTTAAAATCAAGTAGATCTATAAACATATGAAAATCTTGAAAATGAACGGTGTAGATAGTATTTTGTAAAATGCACTATTTCGAAGACTTGAAATCTTTTTATTTTTCATGGTCATACATCTCGATGTCGAGATGATCAATCAAAAGGTTTTTCAACATTAAAACTACTTTTTCCGATGGATTTTTTAGGTGCATCTGATAGTTCTACAAGGTTGCATCCTTATATAAACTTTTTCCATAATAAAAAGGCCAGGCTGGGCTAAACGTCCCTCGGAGCAATCGGTCGAACCACTTTAGAATAAGGACATGAATATTATCTCATTACGAAATATTGGAACTTACTATAGAATCCACATACGAATATTTTCTCATTGTCAAATCTTGTAATCTACTTTGGAATCCCCATACGAATATTTTATCATAAAAAGGAATTCAGAGTTTGAATTCCTAAAAACCATTGGAAACTTACAAATTTACAGTATTCAATCTCAAGACATTATTTTGTTTATGTTCAATGTAAAGCAATGTTTTGAAACTAATGGCTGGGGTGAATCATCCATTCCGCACATCTATGTTAGATCCATTTATCGTTGAATTTGATCTAGATCAATCTGGATCGGGTCAAATAAGTGATTTAGAAAAATATTTAAAAATAAAAATAACAAAAAAAAATTCTAAAATAGGGTTCTATGTGGGTATTAACGGGGTTCCATGGAAAAGCACTTTTTAAAAATATATATGAAAGGAGGTTTTTTAAGGGGACCGAGCCGGTACTGATACCTTCTAAGAACCGATCAATTCCGTCAAATTCTTTCTCAAAACCAATTCAGTCCCAGCCAATTCCCGATTTTGATGGGGAATCTTCGGGTTTGAAATACTTATGTAAACCTTTTTTTTTAAGGCAAACTTTTTATGCTTCCCCTACAGCGTAAAACTTATATGCTTCCTTTTATCCAACCGTCCATTCTGAATGGACTGCTGAGATGACCCCAATGTCACGTCTCTTCACTATTTTATTTTTAATTTTTTTTAGAAATTATTTTCACGCCAAATTTTGGATATCCACTCCTCTCTTAAACTGGCATTTATAAAAAATATAAAAGCAATATTATCAATAAATTAAAATGATTAAAATAGCTTTAAAAGTTTTAAAAGGTATTTTGGTCATTATATTTATCAAAAAAAATTAAAAATATTTTTCCTATGTGCATTGAGATATGTGCTGAATTTTATATTCATACAACTTGTAAAAAAAAAATAAAAGTAAAATGTTGAGACGTCGGATCTAGATGTAACAGCGTGTGGCTAAATTGGACGATTGGATGGGAGGGGAAACATATATTTTTTATGCTACAGGGAAGTATAGAAACCTTTCCCTTTTTTCCTGCTCATACGTGGTATGATGTATGATTTTTACTCCAGCGAGCAGTTAACATTTTGCTCCCGCGAGACTATGTATTCCTCTGCGAATTATATGGAAAATAATAATACTAAATAAAAGAGCGGGTCCCGCTTGGCTATCCAGTATCGAGCTTGTTCGAGAGGATAACAAGAAAGAACAGAGAGAAAAAAGACTGAACTAAAAAGAAGAAGAGAAAAAAACCATGGCTTCTTCTGCAATAATGGCGACTCTTCATCTCCAGGGTCTGAATTATCTTCTATACAAGAAGCCACAAGCTTCAAAAATGGTAATCCGCTCGGTTTTCTTGACGAGGAGCGGCCATTGCCAGCCTCCTCGAGCTCAATTGGGGGAACCCAGGTCACAGAACCTAGCTTCTTTGAGCCGAAGGCTTTTCCTCTCTGAAACGGCCGCCATTTCGGTGGCTTTGCCTTCTCTGGTGAGGTTTGAGGGAGAAGCTAAGGCAGACGACGGGCTTTCAGAGTGGGAAAGAGTTTATTTGCCAATTGATCCTGGTGTTGTGCTTCTTGATATTGCCTTTGTGCCTGATGAACTTAATCATGGTGAGTTCACTCTCTCTCTTTCTTTCTCTCTCTATTTTTTTTTTTTCTGGAAATTGTACTCTTTTTCTAGGTTTGTCATGTAGCTGGTAACTGTTGAACTATGTGTGTGACTGTTTGATGAGTTATAGTAACTTTGCACGGATTATGGAATAATCAGGTTTAGGATTTAGTTGCATTGATAATTGAAGCAGTGAGTTCTTCAGGAGTTTTGGTTGTTGAATTGCATTTACTGAGTTTTCATGGAACTTAATGCAGTTTATTGCATCAAAATCGCGCATTATTCTTCATCTTCATCGCTATATTATATGATTTTTACTATTAAATTCACAAAAATTAATTAATAAAAACTTACTATAATTCTCTGCAAATTTATGTTATATGTAAACATGAAATGAAAGCAAGAACTGTGTCAACAATTTCTCATTTCTATACAGTGTAAGATATCTTCTTGACTAGGCAACATGGAGAACTATAAGAATTGCTTATGTTTTACAGTTTTTCAGGTGAGATGGACTTTTTAATAGTGGTTTTACTGTTTTCTAAGAATCTGATAATGCTTGATAATGGTGTTTTGTGTCTTCAAAATGGGAATGGATTTCTCTCATTTTTGCGTTTACTGAACGATATATGCTAAATGTACAAATCAAATCCACCTGACCCATCTACCCGAAAGGTTGAATTATTCCATGTGCCTTGTATATTGGCTTGTAGGCACGGATGCAAAACTCTATAGACTTCGAAGCTTCTCTGTAAAATGTAGCTTGTATATAATGAAATGAAGACACAGCAACTTGGCAAGCTTATATCTTTTGCTGCTTTCAGTGCATTTATTCCACGTTAAAAGAAGTCCTCAGAGTGTTTTTTTATCTTGTATTTGTAATTTTTATTTCTCAGGTTTTCTTTTGGGTACAAGGCAAACTATTTTGGAAACAAAAGATGGAGGAAACACGTGGTTTCCTCGTTCAATTCCATCGGCAGAAGATGAAGACTTTAATTACAGATTTAATTCCATCAGCTTCAAGGGCAAAGAAGGTTGGATTGTGGGTAAACCAGCTATCTTATTGTACACCTCAAATGCTGGAGAAAGTTGGGAAAGAATACCTCTGAGTAATCAACTTCCTGGGGATATGGTATTAATCATTCTCTCTCTATATATATTTCAATAAGAGTCTTTGCTATATTTATTTATATTCCACAAGATTCCTCAGATTGGTTCTTTTGATTATTTTTTTCATGTTATTTGTATATAATGCAGCCAAAATTCAGCTCATAATTATTGGGATTGCAGGTGTATATCAAAGCAACTGGTGAGAAAAGTGCAGAGATGGTCACAGATCAAGGAGCGATTTATGTCACTTCAAACAGAGGGTACAATTGGAAAGCTGCAGTTCAAGAGACCGTTTCGGCTACTCTTAACCGGTATGTTTCACTGAAAGTTTAGAGTAAGATATCACTGTTTTGGAATATAGTTCAAAGCCCTTCATTTTGATATTTTTATCCACTGTTGAAAAAATTTATTTGTCTCTTGTGGAAGCTAAACAGTTGTCAAATTATTGCTGTGAATGTTCTGGATTGAGGGCCTGGGGGGCAATTGAATGCGACAAATGCTAAGCATCTGTCCTAGAGCTATCCAAAGAGGAACAATTCCTTTCTCTTTTTCTGAGATAATCTTGACAAGGCAGTTATAATATGCATTTCATGCTTTCTAGAGGCTGAACTTTGGTTCTGCACTGTCTTCAGAACTGATTTTAAAGATAGTCCAATTTTCAGATAATTGCAATTTCAGCAATCACTATGATTCATGGCTAATGCATAATGTAATTAGACTAAACGGTAGGTCATTGCTGAATCCCTCATAACGTAAGTACGATTGTTCATCTTGCAGAACAGTTTCCAGTGGCATTAGTGGTGCAAGTTACTATACTGGAACTTTTAATACAGTAAATCGCTCTCCTGACGGAAACTATGTTGCTGTTTCGAGCCGTGGAAATTTCTACCTGACTTGGGAGCCTGGGCAGGTGAACTACATTTAGCTTTAGCTATTGGCAAAATAGATATGTGATAGGAGCTATATTTGGAATTAACAAAGGTGGGTTTTTGGATTATTAGAAAAGAAATGCACGTCATCTTTTTGGTCGTGTTTGTAGAGCTTTGTGTTTTTTACATTCAATCTTTGGGAGGTTCTCTGATTAAAACACAGAAGCTTCAAAGAGCATAAATTTGCCTGCTATTTTGGTTTCTTTGAAAGACAACACTTTACTAATAGACGAATATATCATGAGATTTACTTTTGATGCCTTCATCTTCTTTCATTAATGCAGCCATATTGGCAACCACACAACAGAGCAGCTGCACGAAGAATACAAAACATGGGGTGGAGAGCTGATGGTGGACTTTGGCTATTAGTACGAGGTGGTGGACTGTATCTTAGCAAAGGAACCGGGGTAAGGAACATGAGAACCAAAAAAAGGAACAAAATGAAAGTGGAATGATAAAGGTTATTTTTGGCATGATACTACAGTTACCATTGGGTGATCTTTGTAGAAGTTGTGCTCTTTTTAAGTCATGCTGACGCTTTAGGGCTCGATATAATTTCTTTTGAAGGCCCCTACATGCCCTCTACAACTTCGCTAAACAACTGAGAAATTAACCACAGTTTTTACTGGTCTTTTCATGTTCATGCAGGAGATAAAATATGGCATCTTTGTATCTTATTTTCTACTATTTATATCATTATGTGACTATATTGTTGCAGAGAGTTAGTCTATTTGGTTTCTGAAGTCCCTCATTCAGAATATGCTTATTATCCCATATGGTAACTTTGCATCATAAATGTTAAATATGATCATGATAATGGGGTAGGGGTCGTAGCGGTAGCATCACTTGTGCCCCAGCTAAGGTCTAAGCTTCCATTCTCACCTCACACATTCAAAAAACCACTAACGATTTAGAAAAACGGGTAGGAGCTCGTCATCCCCACTGAATTACCCAAAAAATTGTTAAATATGAACGTGTGGTTGGAGTTTCTTCAAATGCGTGAGTTTTACAGATTACCCAATGTTTTGGTTTTGAACATAATTCGATGAATGATTGACTATTCTGATATTTTTCAGATCACAGAGGACTTTGAAGAAATTCCAGTACAAAGTAGGGGTTTCGGCATTCTTGATGTTGGTTACCGTTCAAAGGTAAGATGTGTTTGCTAACAAAATATAGCTGTCTACTACCATGTTGGATTTATGCCATACAAATTTTATGTATGACATACGATACACAGCCAGGTAATTCACCATCTATTCTCAAGATGCACAATGTAGATGTACCATACTGTGAATGCCAAGATATTCATCCCAGATAAGGATGGAGGATTCCTTGGCTGTGTATTATGTACCACACACAGGATGCACATAAAAACAATTACTTTGTGAAATTCACAACTATATCTTGATTTTAACTTGGAAGCTTTTGTGGGCACCAGGATGAAGCTTGGGCAGCTGGAGGCAGTGGCATTTTATTGAGAACAATGAATGGTGGAAAGACTTGGATCCGGGACAAAGCTGCCGATAGTATTGCTGCAAATCTCTACTCTGTAAAGTAAGTTTTTTTTTTTTTTTGGCTGTTTTTTACTTCTGTAGTCTTTTTCACCCAAGGCCTTCCCTTTGATCATAAGGAAAATATGAGGACTATAGTGCCTACAACACATGCAAAGCTCAGGAAAGCAGTTCAAAAACTTGAAAATGTCAAACCAGTACTTAGTATTGCCGATATTCTTGGATGCTTGTTTTACCACTGAATTAAAACATGCTAGGTGGGTACTTCAAGTATATAGGAAGGGTAAAATAATAAAGGAGCGTGTTTAACCTACTCCCATGGGAGCACATTATACACTTGCTCCCTCAGGCAAAAGAACTGAAATTTTAGGATCACTTTATAAGCAACATATGAATAATTTCAGAAAAAGAAAGAAGACTTATAATTCCTAAATGGTTGGTCGCTAGGTTGATGAGGTTACGTCCCCAAACTTTTGGGCCCTTAAAAAGTACTCCTGGATATGATTTTACCAGATTGAGTAAAATATGCTCTCCCCAGGGTATAAAATCTTTTGGCACAATAAAATTCATGTACTTTCCTGATATTCCAAGTTCGATGCAAATATCCTGATACTCCCGAGTGTTCAGACCACCTGCATGATCTGATAAAGTTTTATTGCAAACATTTTGTACAAGATAAAGTTGGACAGGAAAAACACAAGATAACATATGCATAGTGTATGTGTAGCATATAAATTAGGAAAGTTGCACATCCAATGCCAAAGGATGCATAAAAAATCATCTTGATACATCAATTATCATCTGATATTTTCATAAGATTTATTTCAGACATTTTGTATGGGACAAAGTTGAAAAGAAAAAGCACAAAGACAACAGACACAATTCAACCTAAGGATAGCAAATAAACAAAACAAGCCAACAACCCATTAGAATTGCACAATTCAATGCCAATTTGCATATACAAAAATCTTCTATTCACATCAAATTGATCTCATTGTGTTTTATACATACTCTACATTTCTCTTTGGACCCCTTTTCATTGTTCATGCAGGTTCATCGACGAAAAGACAGGGTTTGTTTTGGGGAATGATGGAGTGTTACTGCGGTACCTCGGCTAGTATTGTTTTGCTTGTTAAGCAATGTAAAAGTTACAACTATGATGCATTTCATCATAAGAATGATATGAAGCATTCTTTGCCTCAATGAATCGATCCATGCGAAATAAATTTTTCTTGATACAAATTCTCTCTCTCTCTCTCATGGTCGGAAGATTTTGTGTGTCTTCTTCACATGGATCCTGCAAAAAGGGCAGCGCGAAACAGCAGAGCAACATCTGTGACACAATACATGGCCACAAGGAACAAACATTGTATCAATCTCGACACCGAGGCAGACACGGCATGACCATGCTGATTTTGCCGCTTCTGCTTCTTTTGCAGCTGTGTCAGCCCTCTCCTGTAAATACCAAAAGGAAAAAGAAGAGAACAATGGCTCACAATTATGCTCTAAATTCGAAAAATGGTGCCATTGATTTTTTTTTTTTTTCTCTTTGGGATCTTCGCGTACCTATGATTTCTTTCTTTTTTGAAAATAAATCGTGCCATAAGATCTCGTATGTTTCAAGAAGAAAATGCCGCAAACTAATTTTTCGAATTCTATCTATCCAGCTGCCGGAGATTGATTAATCCAAAATGTGAAATTGTATAATCTAGGGTTTTAAAACTAAACCTAAGTCCACTCAGACTCGGCATTTCGCTTAGCCGAGTTCTTGTGTACAAATTTGGGAAATAAAAAATTAAAAAAATCATAAACATTACATTTTTTTCTAAAATCAATTTATAAACACTATATATATGATTTTGATTTTTTTATTATGATTTCTTCTTCTTATAAAATCCCATTTTTATAGCTTCCCCTTCCTTTGGATTTTTTTAATCATTTCTAGCTATAAATCATTTTTTCTAAATCCATCTTTTAAATATTTTATTCCATCTTATTTGCGCTTTTAATGTTGTTTATAGTTTATTATTTTTTCTTGTTATTGTTTTCTGGGCTTTGTACACTACTGGGGCGAGTCTACTCAAGACTTGCCTGAGTTAATCGGTTCATGCAGGGCCCAAGTCCCAAGCCTGAGCTGATTCAATGAACCTTGATATAATCCAATGGAGTAAGAAGAAGCCACAGTAAGTTAGGTCAATGGATGGTGTTGAAATCAGTGGGAACCATCATTGGGGTCATGTCCTGTTCAAGCAGGTCCCAGTCTCCATCACCATCCACCATTTCATAGCTGGTTATGACCTCAATGAATTATGGCTTTCACACAGTCGATTGGACATTAGTATATGCTACTTTTCCCAGCTAAAATTAATCCTTCCCTTGAAATTGAGATTAATAATATCCTTAAAATAAGGAATAAGCAATAGATGAACCTGTTCGAGCAAAAGTGCAGCTTGGGACTCCTTGAGCTGTTCTTGAAAAAGCAGAGTGGTTTGCAATAGTGTTTGATTCTCAACATCCATCGAGAGACCTGCTGCAGAGAGTATATCTTGTACTGCTTGCACTAATTCTGTTGTAGATACTTTGCCGTATTGGAGGTCCTTCTGCTACAAAAATTTCAAATTTTTATTATGCTTGTTTATGGTCACTAGATGTGGCATCTATTCTTTAGTTTTCTATTTCAGATATTTCGGATTGCATGCATTAACAATGGTAAAATGTGCATTTTCCAATGACTCGAGACACAAAATGCTTGGAACATTTGATTTCTATGACTGGCTTGACACATATGCTCACTGTGCACCTGTCCTTCTCTTTATGCAACCAATTTATAGTTGGAGAAAAGACGTCCCATGGGACATAATTTGTTCATTTGGTCATGTGGTTCGAACACAGTTTGGGGTTTTTGATGGGCCCCAAAACTCTCAACTTCTGTCTATAAGACTCAAAAATCAATTTAGGAGGAAAAGGACATGGAGTTCAAAGGGTGAAAGAAATCAAAATTTGCTCCAAGATTGGATCTAAAATTGTCCATTCTAATGGACATCAAGAAATTGATCTTAGGGCTAATCGAAAGTCCCTTGTTGAAATTTTAGCCCAACTAGGTGTTTTTAGCTATGGGCCCAAACATATAATTTTCTCTTGCGGGACCACCATATAACTGCCCTTTATAGTTTGTGGGGCATTTTTGAGAATTGGCATGCATGTTAACAAACAGAAGACTGTCCAATGCAGATATTAAAAAGGTGGGGGGAGGGAGGAAGTGGATGCATGTGGATATACTAAGCAGGGAAGGCATGCGATAGTCCATTAGACTATGGGTAGACTATGGGAAAACCACAGTCCATCAGGGTTATGACTGTCCATGCAATGAGAGAGAGAGAGACTTATCACAAGTGGAAAGAATGAGTCTCAAGAGAGAGAGAGAAAGGCCCATCACAAGTGGAAAGTGTGAGTCTCTCTCCATCTTCCATTTCATAAAACAGTCATAGCTCCAATAGGCTATGGTTTCCACAATCAAATGATACAGTATTGTACTTCACATAGAGAAAGAAAATGAAGTGTAACTACCTGAGCTGGTTTTTTTCCTGTTTTGCCACCCCCATCATCTTTCACTAACCTAACCTGTTTCCCCCTCTCGGTTCCAGAATGTCCAATCTGAACAGTTTCCTGCACAACAGATGAAGACCTCCCTTCTGAATCAGTCAACATGCTTTTGAACGAGTAAACCCTCGAAGAAAGAAGATAACTGGTCTCCCCAGGAGCTGTCTCCACCAAAAACCGATAAAGAGCCTGACCAGCTGAGGGTCTCACATTCTCAGGAACTCTGCCATATCTCAACTTCTCTCCATCTTTGTCCGGTTTCCAAGCCACAATTTCTCCAGCATAAAAGGGCCGCAAAGGATGAAAATGCACTTGAAGAGAATCCTGGGGAATTAGCTCCTTGCCCACAATATTATACGTCCCTATCTCTTCCTTCCCTGAACCCAGTTTCAGAATGCCCAAAAGTGCTTTCTCTGAGTTTTCAGGAGCAGAGAAGAGGGATCCAATGGGTAGTGTAAGAGGAGAATCCATAATCTGGCTCACAACAATAGCAAGAACGTCAGTAAGAGGAATAAACTCAGGAGGCTCAGCAACTAGGACATGGGTCTTTGATCTATCGACAAAGTGTAGAGTTCGATGCCCTAATTCTTTTTCCCAGCCTGATATAACTGATTCTTTGGTTACACGGGTTATGTCCAGATTCCTTGGAAGTAGCAGAAACCTGGTATAGATAGAGCACGAAAATTGTAATTTCTCAGCCATGGTTTTTAGCAAGCTTTGTACCTTCTCCAAAGTTAAATCTCTAAACATGAGTACATAGTCAGATAAGTTGCGGAGAATTGTCCATAGAGCAACCTGGAATGATTGGCTCAAGATCTTATCATTGATGGATGTAAGTGTAACAGGCCCAATATGATCCAAGGCCTGTATGGGTTGCTTCTCATCCAGTTCCTGCATCAAATAAAGCATTCCAAATCATTAGGTAAATAATCTTAAGACCCAAACTGATAGTATTAGTGCTAGATGTAAGGAAAGTTAAAATGAAGAAAACCTAGAAAATTTGTTTGATATTTTTGGCCTCAGCTGAAGAATAGATCTCAGATTCAGACATAGTTTCCATTCAAAATTCGCATGTTTCAGAATAGCAAACATAAAGGTGTTCAATTTCGGAGTGAATTACAGCCAAAACTTCAGATTGAAACCAGTAACATAGTCACATTTCACAGAAGCTAAAGTTTTCCATCATCTAATGGATTCTGATCGATGGTACTCCAAGGCTATATACACGGTACATTCTCACTGGTGGATGGTTGGAGATCAACTGTACCAGGCGAAGTCCCTGTGGGCCAGAGTCTAGTTAAACTCGAACCACCATCAATGGGAAGAGACTGTGGATGTAACCTCAGAATACCATGTACCACAGTCCATCAGAGTATGATCCAGTTCTCCCAAGAGATGTTTGCTTATTTGGCTGATAGAGCGGGCTAATGGCCTGCACATGGGTCTCGTCCATTGTACCCATTGGGCTGTATGCCAAAGTGTCAAAATAAATTTTCAATCAAAATTTGAACCCATGCCTTAAAGGAGTTTCAATTACCTCCACAACCATCTCAGAGAGCTTTTTAACACCTAGCAGTGCACATATCTTCTCAGGAAGATCTGGGTGAACAAATCTTAGCCTGGAAGTCTCTATGTCATTGATGAACCTAGAGCCATAAGCATCAACATATATACAGGTTCTTGCCAGAACAAGCCTACACCCATCATCTGGAACTATCACATCTGAGATAGAAATTGATCCTTCTGAACCTGAGCTGGCAGTCCCTTCAGAGATGAAGTGTAAAATCTCCATTACAGCACGAAGTTCATTTGGATTCAGACGTTGATAACCACATGACTGTTGGATCTTCAATAGAAGATCCTTAGCACATGAAAGAGAGAAATGATCTTGAAGCCCAATGTCTTTAAGGATCTTCATGAATGGGAGATACTGGGCGGGGAGTTCGAATGCAAAGGGGGAGAGATTGATTGTGAGACGTGCAAAAAGAGAATATGCCGTAACCAGTCGTGTCCCATTGGCAAGCGGAATGAATGCAACTTTCCGTAACTCTGATATATCTGTCAATGAAAAACTCAAACATCTCAACATGTACGCATGTTCTTGTTTGTATGTATTGGAGTCCTCTGCATAATCGTGTTTGCCGAGGACTTTTCAAAATTTTGATATATCCCTACCTCCCTCCCTCCCCCTCCCTGCTCCCTCGCCTTCCACACCACCATCACCCCCCTACCTCACTCCCTCCCTCCCTCTCCCTCACGCTCTCTCCCTCCCTCTCCCTCTCCCTCTCCTTCTCTCTCTCGCTCTCCCCTCCCTCTCCCTCTCCCTCTCCCTCTCCCTCTCCCTCTCCCTCTCCTCTCTTCCTTCCACACCCCACCTTCAAAAAATAATAATAATAACTACAGTTTCTTAGCTTTCTTTATTGGTTCTTACATCAATTCGTTTCCTTTTTACTGCTTTTATTACCTTTCAGTTTTTTAATTTTCCTTTACTTTCCTTTGGTAATTTTTTGGGTAAATAAAATATTACTTTTTTTTGGTTTAATTACTAGCTACTTTTAATTTCATTATCAGTGCAGTGGATTGGTGGTCAAATACACTGAAAAGTAACATATATGCTCACCTTTAGCTGAAAGGGAATGCCAAAGCTTCTCCAAATATTTCAAAACTTCATAAGAAGCATCTTCAATGGAGATCATGCTTGAGGAAGTAGGCCAGCGTGCAAGGGTGTCTTCACCCCCATTTCTTCCAACTATCTGAAAAATTAGGAGTGATCAATTCAAAGCTAGAAAATCTTTCAGGTTGAGATGGACCCAAGACAATCTGGAAATATTAAAGTTGAGAGGCCCATTTCCTCAACTCAGCTGGTTCATCTAGTTTAATCAAAGGAAACTTTTCATTCAATTGAATTATGACATAACTTCTGCTAATTCAGGATATCAGTTTCTGGGACTCTAATACCAGGACTATTAGCTGAACCGACAGAACTGTCAGGCAGCTTCTCAGGTACAGACTGCGCTTCAGTAAGCGATTCTAGCCAATGGAGACTGATTCGGTAATTAAGACTTCTTTTTATACTTTAAAAAAAAAAACACTAAGATTGTAATTGAGAGAGGAACTAGGCTTCAGGGTTCAGACTGAGACAACTATTTTCAGACTTTTAGTGGTTTTGGTTTTAGTGAATTAAAAAATCAGCCCTAAACTGACAGGTCCGCCAAAGTAGTGGATACATTTTCAATAAAGATCGCTTTCTTTATGTAGATAAAAATGTTGAGTAACAATCTATTCATTTAACCAAGCATAAAAGACAATGCGGGAAAAATGAAACAGAAAAGCACCAAACAAATTAGCATAAACAAAGTTATACCTGGAGATGTCTCAATACTGTAGAAAATACTGGTGGAGTCCTCAAATGTAATGCTCCCCAAGAGAACTCAGGAGGAATAATCTTCGGTCTGGCTAGAATCGGTGCACAACTCCATGCCAGAGGCCAATCTTTCAAGAGAATTGCTTCATTATAGGATGCAAGCACTCTCTTTCCACCTTTCTTCCCCTCAATTTCTGGCAACCCTTTTTCAGCAGGTACAAACACGATCTTGCTGAGGACATCACAGAAGTGACTGCCATATAAAACTGCAAAGTTTCCTAAGATAGCTTCCACAACTGATCCAGCTAAGGACCACAGTTCAGAAGGTAATTCACTTTGGGAGTTCAGGAATCCCACATCAAAAGCATCTGGATCTTCTGTACTTTTCCAGGCCTCAGATCCCATCATTTCTACTTTTCGAGCGCAATCGAGTATTGTGTCGGCTTCTGAGGAGGTCCTTAAGCTTGTTTTGCGCAAAAGGCGAAGCCATGCCTCAGAAGTGAACCTCTCACCAGGGAACTTGATTCTTTCCCCAGAAAATACCGATTTGAGTAAAGAATCACTGGGGTCTAGTAGATCCTTGGGTTTGTATAACTGTGCACAAGATTCATCGGCACTTCTAACAAATTTAGTCTCTTTCAAAGCAGCAATTACTGTAGAATCAGACTGTAAAGTATCCCAATTCATAATCAGATACATCAAAATTAAATCCTGGTCATGCTCAGTTTTCTCTTCAAACCTGTTTAAAGCAAACCTCACAAGTATCTCTTGGTTGTGCAATTCTGGGATACCAAGGGCATGGAAAAAGAGACTACCACCCATAACAGTTGAATGAGAAAAGCATTGTTCATCGTAGGGCTGAAAGAATGCATTTGGAGATATAATACATTGGTTTTGCCCATATATACGTGTATACTTTCCCACAACTGTCTTAAAGATGGGGAGTTCTCGCAACATATCAAGCTCTTCTCTTATGTAAACTTCAGGAGATGAAGAATCAAAATCTGAGGCAAAAAGGGTAAATAGTTCATCACAAACTTCATCAGAGAGAGAAGCTGGTTCAGAAGGATATCCAGCTTGTTTAGCAGCCAATAGCTTGGAAATGATAGCTTGCCCAAGAGTTTGACCTTGTCTAGGTAAACAAGATTGTGGTGGGTTGTATTCCAGAAAAGATACATCATATACAGGTAAATTACATTCATTTAGAAATGATAGCAACCAAGGGTATCTTTTGTTGGTCATTTCATATGCTGTAGTGTATGAGCTTGACTCATCAGAAGTGGGTTCCATCCTGGGGGGAATAAACACCAGGTTGCTGTGTTTGACTCGGCACAATATTGGTTTATGAAGAAAAGCAGGAATGAGGGGCCAATTGGAAAAGTATGAAAGCTCACCAGAGACAAGGATCCTCCAAAAGAGTTGTATCCAATCAGGGGATGGACCCTTGCCTTGGGGACCTGAACTATTCTCCCAAGGTACCCAAGGGTTCTTGTTCCAGTTCAAGACATAATCAACCCATTGCTCATCCAAAACTAGCCTCAGATGCTTAGAGAGTAGGAGGGGAGAGAAGATATGCAATTTCAAAAATCCATGTATAATTTGGTTTGAGAAAAATCCAGCTAGTATGGGCCTCTCCAAACATAGGGGGTCAATAAATTTTGCAGCTAAGGGGCGCATTAACAACTGCTGTTCTTTGCTTCCTATCCAAAGTTCAGTCACCCCTAATTTTACAAGATGCTTTGTTGCAGTCGGACAAGGTAAACCTTTCACCTCGGCAGCTATGGCAGGCACACCTGTTACGTCGCTGAAAAGGGCATCTCCACGCCCTGAAGGTCCTCCAGGCCTGCTAATATCTTCTACAACCCCCCGACCTAAATCATACAATGCTTTACCAAAATTCGTCATCATATCAAGTGGATCTCCCCCTGGGCTCTGAGTTTGCGCACGCTGTGCTCTCTGCATGTTCAGCCTCCTCATTTGGGTTTGACCAGGAGAAAGTGAATCCAAATCATGTGTATTATTGCGTAGATTACCACTTTCAGGAAGAAATGCTTCAGTACCATCCAAAGTACTTTGTTCCCTGGATACATCAAACTTATTGGGATGGTCCAAATCAATATCAGATAAACAATACTCAAAAACATCAACAAATGTTTCAAATGATCGAAGCACAATGGATGTAGGTGATGTTTTCAATAGGTCCCTGACAATCTTTGGCTTAATTTCTCTTGCTACAATTCCCACAGCTTGAATTTCACTGACCAATTCCCATGGCACTGAGAAAACAGGGTAGTGCTCCTTGATGAAGCTATAAACTGTCGAACGGGGTGAATGATCAGTGGGCCCCATCCCAGGATGAGCAAGAAACATACCTTCTTCGGCCTTGACTATGCTTCCACCATAAAGTTGCCAAACAGGGAGGTCAACAAGGCGCACATAGAAAGGCCGTATCACTTGTTCAATTAAACATTGCCAATCAGCCTCAAGCGCATGGGATGACTGTGAATTATTAGAAGCACCCTTAGATCGACCAGGAGACAAAGAATGTTGTTTAGACCTTGGCCAGAATGAGTAAATCTGATCCCCATAAGCTCGCAAAATTTGACCAACATCATGGGATGAAGGTGATTCCAAACTTGAAGTCATGGGATCCTTCCTTAGCTTTTGAAACTCTAGCACCATTTCGACATATGAGTCACGAACACAAGACATCAACTCGCTGTTCCAAGCTGCCATTAACTGATCACGAATATCATGTTGCATTCCTGATGAGGTCACGGGGTCCTGGTACTTGAACAGATAGCGCCCACCATTGTGCCAAACAAGAAAATATCCCAAAACAGTAACAGGCAAATCGATAACTCCAGAAAGTGGTAATGGAGATAAAATAAAACTTGATGAATGGATGCGGTAAGGATCTCCATTTTGTGAAATGTGTGCTGCAACCCCAGCAACTGGTGTTAGGTTGTACGCGAGATACCGCCTGAAAATTGATATGGTTGAGACATGCTCAAGATATATTGCACATAATGCATGATAATATTGGATAAGAGTAACAGATGCACTTAACTGGAGAAAGTAAAGAAACCAGTTACTATTATCAAAGAATAGACCATGGATACTCTTAAGATGTTCATGCATCATACTTGAATAGGGTTCAAGATAGAGAATGAAGACTATTCCAGAAACAGAAAACATCTCACCAAAGTATAAATGAATTGTAATTTTAGATCGTGCTTTTTCTTTCTTTTTTTCTTTTTTATTGGGCAAAGATATCATTTAAATGAGCAATCAAGGGGTACATGAAGTTTCACCAGTGGTGAAGACAGTCAGAGACATTAATATATGGTACATGGGGTTGTTGATTCTCATAAAGCAAAGAAACTAGACCAGATTACGAAAATATCATTTATGGTTATGAGCAATCAAGTATATAGTAGGTGTCACAAGGGGTGCAGACAGATAGAGCAATCAGGAGTCGAGGAAACTGGACCAACACCCACTTCTAGCAAGGGAATTTGCCTCCACATCAGAGAACATGATGACAGCAAAATTCTAACTTGTGGGATGCGTCAAGGATCTCTAGGATATTTGCCAATCTCCATGGTCACGGAGAGTCTTTCTGTACAACAAACTAACATATTTTGTGAGTGACCTTCCACAACCAGAGGGCTAGAGAAAATCTAGGTGAAGCCCAGTTGGAGGCAGTTCATAGATTTCTACAGTATCCTAAGTGCTCTCATGAGTCACTTCATGCTTGGGTTGCACGTGTGACGTGAATGGGGGAACGTGACACCACCGCATAGGAATCAAAGGGAAAAGCATGAAAAACATTGAGGAATCACATGCATTTCCCACTTTCTCAGAAAATAGAGTAGCACTAGTTTCAACAAACTGTATTTAGGGAATTATTTCCAGAATATTCAGGAACCGATGATGTTCTAGTACTAAATCCATTAAAATTTTGAAGAACTTGTTACCTTGGAAAAGAATCGCAAAAAATCATGATTTCCAGCTTATCATATGATCAAAGAGAGCAATAAATGATAATATAACAACTTAACATAAACAGCAAGCTTGAAACATGGGCAATAACATGACACTGCAAAGAAGCCAAATATTCCCAAAAGAGGGAAAAAAAGGAGAAAACAACTTCTAATTTGCATGGAGGTTCATTCACTTATTCATAGACTCAACGCATTCACTTATTCATGGACTCAACGCATGCTTTGCACAGGCATACCTATCTAGGGCCATGTTCCTTGTTTGTCCCGATCCGAGGGTAAGGACAACCAGCCATTTGTCAATGACTTCCCTCCCATCTTGAATGATCCGAACATCTATTACGCGTGCTTTTGTTGCAGTGCTTGAGCTACCAAACAATCTTGATATCTGAAACTTTCTCCATTTCTTTTCTGAAAAAGGATTCCTCATAATAGCAGATAAGGAATCAAGGTAAACACCATACTCCTGACACATATGAGTATCTCCTTCACCCCAAGTTGACACCTCCACCTAATGAAAATAAATATTATGATATATTAATATTAAGAAATAAAGTGCAATATTCCCTATATTTTTCAAAGCATTTTAAAGGAGTGGAAAGCAGAGAAGAGCAAGTATTAATTCCATAATCCAGTTCTCCATATAAAAATCCAAAAGAACGAATCAGAACTTATAAAAAGTATAATTTTAAAAAGTCTCTAAAAGTAAACACCATACATGAGCATGCTTACAAATTTCAAAAGAAGGCAATAGAACATAAGTGGTGAAATGATTATAAGAGAACAGAATATGAGACCAGTGATTGTTCAACATAAGCATGCATTTCTCAAACCATTAAAGAATATATCAAAATACCATGGTGATTGTAAAATGATCAAGGGTAATTAATTCTGTCTGTACATTCCATACACTCTCATGGGGACTTATCCTAAGCTTCTCAGATTCTCTCTAAGCCACAAATGTGACTCATAGAAGAAAAGCATAAGCAACAAAAAGAAATGGAAAAATATATATAATCTACAGTTTGGAACGGAGCAAGTCAATATAGCAAATGGGATACCATAAAAACTAATAAACGTTTTGAGAAAATATCCCTAAAATGTTCAAACCTCTTTTAGAAACTCATTAAGATAGTCAAATCAACCAATTCATCAACAAAGTCATTACTTTAAAAAGATCATTTCACTCAAGTACCTCGTCAACTATTTTGTTAAAAAATGCCCAAAATTCCCTATTCTGAGCTTGGAATACTGAACATGTAAGGGTACTTTTATGATTTGGCCCCACTAAAGTGGCCTTGAATGCCAAAGGTATGCCTACTTGTTCCGGGTTCCAAATCCAGAAATTGTTCTTTAATTCAAATATCTTGCTCTGTGTTTTGGATGCTCTGGGTTTGGAAACCGAAACATGTGATTTTTCCATCGAACCTTGTGTTCTGGGTTTAGATCCAGGAATAATCAGGGGCATTTTGGTAATTTAGCTCACTCGTATCACAGGCTTAATCATCAAAATGCACCTGCTTGTTCACAGCTCCAAAACCAATACAAGGGTATTTTGGATATTATCTAATAGAATAGTTGGGGACATACATGAGTAATATAATCCTTCTAAAGTAATCATTTTCTTTATATATTGGTTGATTTGACCACCTCAATAAATTTTTTTTCAGATAGTTTAAATATTCTAATAATATTTTTCCCCAAATTTTTAAACAGTCCCAGATAAAATATTAGGCAAGCAAAAATTTTACCTGTAGAATAGACTTTAAGAATAATAAAGTTGTAGATAAAGGTTCCAAAAATCTATCAAATATGTGCTTCACTCTCCGGGAACCGGACTCTATTCCTTCTGCCATGCACTTGGATGATAAGGGCAAGCGAATAATTGTGGAACCTGATAAGGAACAAGCGACATCTTGACCAATCAACAAGGGGTGAAATTGATCACGGAATCTCTCCATAAGATTTGCACCTGCAAGACATAAAAATTGCAACTAAGATGTGCTCTATCCGAATCACAACATACACAGCAAAGTACAAAAGCAAACAATATAAACTGCATCCAAAGGTCAAATGATAGTTAAAAGGAACTTGATCCAAAGTTTCCTAAAAGTAAATTTTCTTTAGTAAAATCAACCTAATCCATTTTCAACAGTGATAGATTCTATCTAAGAGGAGTAAAAAATTTAGTTGGGATTAAACTCCAAAAAGATATTGGCCAATAGACATAACAGATCTAAAGGTTTAGTCAAAAATTATTAAACCACAAAGAAAAACATTTGTTTGACATGAACATTGCCAACCAATAAATTTGTTGGCACTTTGGATCATCATCCTGCAGTGGTTGCCACTTTCAATAAATATAAAACAAAAATTATTGACATTCAGATGTAATTTCACAATATCCTGCATGTTGCACATAGCGAAGTGGCTATTGAGGAAAACCCCACTAATACTGAATAAAGTAACTAACAAAAACCCTCATTATCATGAACAACAGTAAATGTGACAATATCCAACTTTTCTTCAATATGAACAAGATGTGATTTGAAAGTTCTTTCAAGGGTAGAAGAACAGAAACATACCAATGCCCTGTCCACCCCTTCCACATGTCCCACACATAAGAAGTGAAAATGGGTGATATGTTTCAAATAAACAAATACTTTTGAGATAAGAGAAATTGATCAATCGCCGTGACATATCTAATATCAACAAAATTCATTTGTCATTTTCCATAGATATCCACCAAGTCCCAATAGGATTGACAACCAACCAAGTTATAGGGAATCCACAACATGGATCATGAAAGTGCCTTCTTTGATGTGATCATGTCCAACATTCCATATGTCCAACTCTTAAAAACATTTGCAGCAAGCTAGTCACCATGAAGGGCTTCAAAGTGACAGATGAGATCGAAGGTTTAAAATGAGAAATATGGGGTCAACTCAAATACCATCACAAAAGAAGGTAAAGACAAAATGAAAGGTCTCATTTGGCCCCAGCTTTGACAATCTTCAATATGTAATGTTAGCATAAGTGCCCGTCAAAGGAATTTGTATAAGGCATAGAGCACAACACTTAAAAATGCAGAAATTGCCTCTGTTGGAAATTATCAGGCATAGAATGAAACAGTTTTGCAGCATGCAACAATGGGAAAAAAAGCCATGAAGATTTTAACTTTACACAATCAGCTGGAATAATTTCAAGGGCTAAAATATCATGCAACAAAAGAACAACTTACCATTTAATGAGTATATTTTTGCACAGGGAACATGATTTGATGGTGCAGAAAGAGCCAAACCAAGAGGGTCAAACATGTAAAAACAGCCATCGGAAATGATTGATGGGAGATCACATATTTGGTAACAGCTGAGCAATCCTAAACCATAATTAAGTGTTGTGCCTCGAAGCTTCCAGGGAGGAAGAAGCTGGAGATTGGAAATTTCTTCTGTGCTCAAGATGGCCCCCTCCAAAACAACTACGAGAGCTGGCCCTTGAAACTCGCCTACAGAGTTACAAACAAAACTGAGGAAATGCATGAAATAATACAACAAACATGCAAAAGCAACAACATAGCATAAAAGGCAAGCTTAAAATCATGCACATACTCAAAAGTGTAATGTGAAGTATGTGCTACCTAGACTGGGATGGAGTAGGGACAGCCTTGGATGCTCTCGCTTATCAAATATCACATGTAGCTTCCTTGCCTGACAACAGTCTGCCAACTCCAACAAATCAAACAACAAAAGATCATCTTGTCCATATAGCGCCATCAGATCACATATTTTTGAATATTCCATACAAGGCAAATCTTTTGTCATCTCCTCATCCACTAAGGACAAGTACCGAAGTGACTGTATCCCTAATCTATTAGCTAGATCATTGCTAATACTGGAGTGTACAAAATGCTTAGTGTTAAAAGAGCTTTTTTCCATCCATGGAGCATCATTGTAGACAACATCAGCCCCACACACAAGAACTCCAGAGGAATCTGGTATTAATAATGATGTCAGGCATGTATTGGGCAATGATTTTTCAGTATAACAGTCAGCAAGAGCTTCCAGTAAACAAACAACAAAACTCAACTGCTCCGGTGATAATGGTGATCCTTTCATGTCCAGTTGCAACCGTTCTAGAACATGCAAATAATCCACAGATTCAAAGGTTAGCTTCACTCCTAAGGCAGAGAGCAAAGGTCGGTACTCTGATAGCTCAGATGGAACAACATAAAGGTAGGGCTGAAACTTCACAGGGGAGTCAAATGCAAGTGCCTCTGATGCTACAAAATTATCACCAGTCCACACCCAGGGAACACCATTCACAGCAGATTTTAACACCATGAAATCGCTGGTATCAACAAACTCCTGTAATGTTGCATAGAGATTTGGGATTTCCCTTTGCAATGCTTTGTCCCATATATGCCTGCAGGAACCAGACTGTAAAACAACCTGATTATAAGACTTGCACAGTTCAACCAATTGGGTTGACAAGATACGAACATTCGGTCTTTCTTTCCAACCAAGCTTATATTGAATGTATAGAGAGCATTCCCCATCCAGTATTCGCATGGTTGAAGACACCATCCACATTTGGGACATTGGCCTCACATATCCTGGAGATGCTACTTGAATTTCAGATACAGCCCATGGAAGTCCTTCAATTGGTGGATCAACCAAAACGGGGCACCAAGCAATATCTCTCAGTTCTAACCAGAAGTCATCTTTGGGTTCATCATGGGTAAAGTTTATGCACCATTGCATGTCAAGATCACCTTCAGAAGACACATCATTTAGCTCTCCCAAGAGCATGCTTCTTGCTCGTGAACTAGGCATACCTGCCTCTTTTTTATCGAAATTAGAGCTGCCATAATCATCACTAGTTTTGTATTCAATCATATCAGCAAGCTTGAAACCAACGGCATCCAAGCAATCAAGTAGTCTCCTTCCAAAGTTCATAGCTTCTTTGCTGCCAGAATCATACAACATGGAAACTGATCTTGCACTGTCAAGCAAACCAGAGAATCCCAAGGTGTTCTTCATACCCAAACTAAGCAATATCTCAAGGATATCACACTTCAAGAACTCTCCACAAGGGAAGAAAGCATCTTTGTACAAAAGTTGCTGTAATCCAGGAATGCGAGGATCATAAAGTCTGCAAAATAAGGTCTGATTATTAGATTTACAGCCATCTTCCATCCAATCAGCCATGCATCACTGTCCAGTCCTCAAAGTCTCACCACATGATAATCCAGAAAAAACAAGAAAAGCGAATCACAACCCGCAAAGCAAATTTCAAGGTCATATATAGCATCCCCCTTAAGGATCCATTTAGTCCTTAATCTACATGGAACTGACAAGTCAACTGATATTACACCATGCTATTATGGGTGGTGTTTTATGGGAGGCTCAAGTATGGAAAGAAATGATCAATGACAGGAATGACTCACAGGTTTCATCTAAATCACAATGGCATTGAACAAGTTCGTAAATGGGTACTTAACAAAAAATCCAGAAAGAACATCCAGCATCCATTCCAAATGACAGGCGGTGGAAATTCACCATACCCAAGTGAATATTTGTTATTGGGGACTACGCGTAATTTCAACATCTTTATCAGGAACAGACAGTGGATGCCATCATATGTGCTATACATCATACATGTGCAATGTATGGAATATTTCCGCAATTCAAAGACACTCATTTTATGTTGCCAAACGTGAAGATTGTAATAAATTACACAACAGACATGCATCTAGATGTTTGCATTTTCAGTAGACAAAACAAAAAGCTTAGTTATACTGTTCTTATGCTAAAATTCAGTTCTGATAAGCATGTACAACACCCAAGGTCAGAGCCACAGGTTTAGTTATGGCCCTAGATGGCTAGATCATACTATGACCTAAAAGAACCAAGTGCTTCACAGGCCATCAACATATCCTGCCAAAATACAGAAAAGAAATTTTGTTTGAAAAGGCCTGATAACATCTCTCAAGGTACACATGCAACGAAGAAAAATAAAATCAAGTTCCACGTAAGTAAAACCCAAAGAGAGGTGCTCATGTTAGAAGAGTCCAGTCCATTTCTATTTGAACTCAAAATCAATACAACAGTCCAGTCCTTTTTTATTTGAACTCAAAATTGATACAACATAAAACAACAGTCCAGCCCCTTTTTTATTTGAACTCAATAGTCAAAATCAGTACAACAGTAGCTTCTTAGAAAATAAAATCTGTATCTATGGAATATGAGGAAACGCATTTACTAGCCCTGAAATTGCTTCAAAATTTCTATGATTCTTCCACAGACCAATGGAATTCAGAATACCAATCCTACACCCGCAATAATCAGTTGAATAACTAACTATAGTTGGTCTTAATTTCGGTTACCAGAGAAATTTAACTATCCAGAAATTTTCCAAATAAGAATTTATTTCTTTTCTTTGCATAACTGGTTCCATTAAATTGAAGTTCATGAAGTTCATATGAACAGAAGAATAAAAGGCATCCTTCTACTTCTAGAAATAAAATTTTCAGGATATAACTTCCAAATCAAACTACTGTACATGAATAGAATCACTTGTTCCAATTTCCAACCTCAGCACAAATAAAAATCAATTCAAGCCCTGCAAAACTCTCAAATCTAAGAAAATTCCTTCCTTTGGCATAATACAAATCAATGAAAGAAAAGCATGACAAAAAGTGCAAAGGGCTTACCGACAAGGACACTGTCTAGACCCATTCGCAGTTAAAACAAATGGTGTCTGAGAAACATCTGACTTGAAGGAAGAATCCTCTTCAATCAAAAGTTTCAAGTCTTCTAACATACTCGAAAGAACAGATGGTAGTGATGAAAATTCTGAGATACGATTCAGTACATGCTCCCTGTAGAATTGAATCCTTGATGGCTCACCAACCCCTAGATAGTGTCTTAAAATATCTTTTTCCTTCTGTGACTTTGTATGAATGAAGCTATCATCCATAAGTTCCTCTCGAACACCTTCAGGTTTAATCCATTTCGTAGCCTTGATCAAACAAGTTAATTTCCTGCTTTTGTAAGACTCAAAAATGGGAAGACGCTTGATTGCATCAATTTGCATAGAATCCATCTGATCTTTATTAAACCATTTGGACTGGCATATAAAACTACGGAGTTCATGTAATTCTCCTTCTAATGCATTGCCAAAGAGGTCTTCCAATGAGTCCAGCCCACCAGATACTGCTAATAAAGCATTTAAAATGCCTGATGCTGAACCATTTTGCACATAATCTCCTATGTGTGAATGATTTATTGGCAGGTCAGACCTCAAGAAATAACAACCTAACCTCTGCAATAATGAAGACATGTTTTCACTCCACCCATCATCTTTGATCACGTTTGAGTTTTTGACAAGCTTTAAAAGGAAGCCATTCTTGATGGGTAAAATTGGCCACTTGGAAAATATAGATAGATCATCACACGATAAGCCCAAATAACCCCAAAATAGTTCCATCCATTCGAAACTTGGTTGGCCCTGCAGGCCTGGAGTCCAAACCACTTGTTCAGCATGTAGCCATTCAGCTGGAAGAACACGAGGCAGTAGTTCCACAAATGAATGGCATGACAACAATGATATATTCATCTTACCAGTCTGAGCTATTCCCTGTAACTTTATGAGTACTTCTTCTCCAATTGTGCAATCCACAAGAGCGTATGGAACACTATCCCTGAGCAAATTATATTCATTTTGGCCTGTAATAAATATTCTTTCACCCAGTCCATTCTCAGCAAATGCTGCAAATTCACCTGTGGCAAGTGGGACCAAGGGTAATCCATTTAACTTTTCCAATTGAACAGGTTCAAGTATGTCACTCAAGCAATACTTCAAAGCGAAGATCATTGCATCTCTGTTCTTAAGGCCACGTTTTCGCCGGATCAGTAAGGTTCGAAGTAAATGAGGGGTCAAAAAGTGCAGTGATGGGCAAAATTCCTTGAATCTAGCAACTAAAGGCTCAGAAGAAACCACTAAAGGCAAGCCTGCATCTGATAGGGCTTCTGCAAGCTCAGTTGATTCTGGAAATGAGTAATCAGGAAAGAGAGCTTGTTTAGTTGATATCCATTGACCCCCTCTAGCTTTGGTATACAGCACTCGTAGTTCTAGATCAGCAACATTCATGTACAGCTTTCGTACCATAGAAGCCCATGGCTCAGGTCCAGTTGTTGTGGGCCAGAGAGAGAAATACAGATCACAAGGGCCAATCTCTTCAGCAACTCCAGCAAGCAATTGGCCATAAGCAGGAGCAACCACATCTTCAAGAAGAAAAACATTCCAGTCAGATCGCACTTTTCCTCCTCCAGCCATGTCATTGCCAAACCAAATGTCCCTTCGATTTGATGACAACTCAAAATATGCATTGATATGTGTTGAAAGGCCAGTGATAATAGGCAAAGGGAGAAAGCAAAAAGCGCGACCCTCAAATGCTCTAGGATCTTGGGTGGAAAAAGGCATTTGAATTTGCTCAAGAATGTGACGATAGAGTTCTTCAAGAGTCTCACTGGCATTTGGTTCCACGTCTCTAGCTGAGTGCAAATGAGTAGCAACACATGCCCAAGGAATAAAGTTACGAGACCGGTTGCCTGGAGCTAATGAGTGGACTCGGGCACGCCCTCCTCCTATGCATTCATTAACCACCCAAAAATGCACCACTTTGCCAAGAGAGTTCCTTTCAGACACAACAAATTTTCGGCATCTCGATGGCAAGTTCCTATCAACGGTCCCACTCAACTGTTTATAAAACTGTTCTCTATCCATCATCTGCTGTTTTCCAAGGATATATTCAAGCATCCCATTCAAAGGATGAGGTTCTTTTCCCAGATCACTGATGTCATTCCTGGAAACACGGTGAAACAGTTGCATCTCATGACCAGGTCCATCCTTTACATACAGAGATACAATGTTGACATGACGAAGAAAAAGCAGTACCTCAGCAACAGTTGCAGAGAAGTTTGAGAAAAGAGACAGGACATCTTCAGATGTGTATTTCTCTCTCTTTATTTGACTACGCAGAGCAGAATCTTCACCCCTCAATGGAAAACGAAAAATAGTACCAGGAAATGGATCCTTCAAGTCACAACCAAAATGCAAGAAAGGAGAGAATTGATCAGGGAATTGCTCCAAGATTCCCCTTCCAACAAACTTTATCCGAAGCCCGGGATGAGATGGAGAAATACCCGGCAGATAAGAGGCATGAGGATCAAACATCACAATATTTTCCCCAGAAACAAAGCAAGGAATATCTGTAAAATGATACACACAGTTGAAGCCAAGCCCAAACCTTCCAATTGCGAAAGGCTTTTCAAGCTTACTATCTTGACCAATACGTGAGATGGCATAAAGATCATGCTGACTGAAGACTGAATTATTATAACAATATAAAGCACAGCCCTGCCAGTCTGCCATTTCAGGAGACAAAATTGAAGAAGTCCCATACTGAGTTTTGTCCAAAAGAAAGCTAACCTCAGTGGCCCTAGCATCATCTGCATTTTGGACAAGTTCATACAAAATCCCTGGTCCATCAGCATACATTTCTACTATATGTCTAAGCCTGGTTGTCAGAGCTTCATGCTGCCCAAAAGCTTCAGCTGCCTCAGATAAACCCAAATTCATGGAGTCGGCACTCTCAGCAAGCAATAATCCTCGAAGAGAGCGAACCCCAAGTCTCTCAACAACATCATTTGATATGTTTCCATGCACAAATTTCTGAACTTTTCTTCTTGGAGCTAAATAGACTTTAGATATGTTCTGAGCTCCTCCATTTTCAGAATCAAGCAACCAGGGGGCATCATTGTAAACAAGATCTTTAGCGGGAAAGAGTCTAGACGACACATCTGGCAAAAAGATTAACATCTCCTGGTCAGGAAACTGAAGTTCAGCCATGTGTTGCACTATTAGAAACACTGCTCTGAGTTCTTCACTATCAAGGGGACTATCTGCCTTTTTCTTAGCCATCTTACTAAGAATTGCAGCGTAATCCATAGGCTTCAAGGCTTCACGTATGCCTAAAACCAAAAATAACTCCTTAAAAACTGCTAAATCAACAGGAATTACACGTATATAAGGAGCAAGATGGAGGGGGCCATTTAGAACCACTTCATCTGCAGTTGCAAACCCATCTCCCACCCATATCCATCGACAGCCTTCTAAAACAGCTTTGACAATGTCCATCTGATCCAAACCTATCATAGAGCTCAGTATCGAGTATATCCTTGGCATTGCTACTGCTAGTTCTTGTCGAAGAACCCGATCAATCACAAGCTCATTGTTTTTTCCGAGCTCGAGTAGTTGGGCAGCAATTACACTACCTCCAGGTGGAAGAGACCAACCCAAACTGAGGGATAAGGCAGTTGAAGAGCATTCACCATCCAGAATCCGCATGCTCGCTGAAACGAGCCATAAATCAGATTGCAGCCTTACAAGCTTAGGAGGAGCCACCATAGATGAAACTGATGGCCATGGAAGAGCATGGTAAGGAGGTTTAACCAGGACAGGGCACCAGCATATCATTCTCATGTCATTCCAAAACTTCACAAGATCAGCTTCTTGAAGTGTTTCACGAGATTTAAATGCCATGGCCACTTTTGAAAACATTTGATTGATTATTTTGTGGCTATCACTGATTGAATCAGTATACCATTTTGTTGCATTCACCTCTAAAAACAATAGGAGGACCCTACTCCGTGAATATGCCTTCTGAGGATCAGTGTACATAATTTGTTCAATCTGCCGAGCACTGTGTATCACAGTATCAGGAGACACCAAAGTCCTAAGCCCCAAACCCTGCAGCATATCCAAAACTTCTGGTTCTCTGAATCGGCCACATGGAAAGTCATCCGAGTCTTCTAAAAGAGCATATAATTCCTCATTTCGAGGATCATATAACATCTGAGGACTCTTCAAACATCCACCAAGAGTTGGAACAAAATCCAATTTTTTCAAGGTGTCCTTAAAAGATGCTTCCTCAGCACAAAGTTGAGGCAGACCCTGTACAATTGCAAGCAGGACAGTGTCACGAACTTCAGGTTGCAATTCACCAATTCTATTTAATACTCTGTCCTTGTAGAAAACTGCCTTTCCCATGCGTTGGACTCCATAGTACCGCAATAAGATCTCTTCTTCATTTCTAGATGAAGTGTAAACAAACTCTTCTCCAAGAAAACAGCTAGGAACGTCAAGAGGTGGCAAGTACTTTCTAGGCCTTACAAGATCAGAAAAAATGCAGGATGGAGTAGATTCTCCACCATAAACCTGATAAATGGCTAGTTTTCTGCATTTCTTGATGTGAATCTCTGTTAAATGACCACCAATATACCATTTTGGATCGAGAAGAAATTGCCGAAGTGTATTTTTCTCTTCATCTTCAAGACACTGGAAGCATGGCAGCATTTGGACCAGGTTATGAGAAAAAGCATCGAATATCGCATCGATAACACCAGCACCATTTGCATGGTGAACATAGAGGGCAAGCTGTGAGTGCTCAACTCCATACCTAGGATCTAATATTTTGCAGCCAATATTTGAAAGAATATGCTTCATTGTGTCAGATAAAGACTGTGTGTTAATCAACTTTGATGTTTTAGAAGCTCTGTACAGGTGCCCAGAAATGGATGGTAGAATTGGCCAGTCAGAGAACCGTGATAGGTCATCGCAATAACCTCGAAGATACTGCCAGAAAAGAACAAACCAGGAAGCAGTTGGATGGCCAAAATTGGAATCTGGATCCCAGGCAACTATATCCTTATATCTCCAATCAGCGGGAACAAATTTAGGAAAGAATTGCAGGAAAACTTCAACATCAATGAATCTAACATTTGCCATTGAAGCCCTTGCGATATCTGATAGTCTGTTCAAAAGGTCGGAAGGAATATTCTTGTCAATTATTCTCTCAGGAACTTGACCCATTAGCTCATATTCTAACTCCTTGCACATAAAATATGATATGCCTTTTGAAGCTTCAGACAATAATCCAAAATCGCCACTAGCCAAAGGTATCAAATAAAGCCCACTACAGTGTTTGCCAACTTCCAAATCATTGACATTATGAAGACAATATTCTAATAGAACTAGTCTGTGATCTCTGCTAAGTGTAACCAAATCACCAATTTCCCTAAGAAAATTCCGTGCTGTATTTGTACTGACTACCCTCTGTTGGAACTTGGAGAAGTATTTGGAGAACATGCTAACAATGGGCGGATGTAAATTCACAACAGGCATTCCCAAGAGCATAAGGGCCTCACCGAGTTTATTGCTTTTTACAAATTTCGCATCATTAATGAAAGCTTCTGTGGGAGAAACCCACTTCCCACCTTCAATATCTGAGTGTAATACAGGAAGATCACTGATATTTTTATAAACTTGTTTGACTAATGTAGTCCAAGGTTCCTCAAAGGAACCAGAAGGCCATAAGGAATAGTATGCTTCAGTGGGTCCCAATATTTTACGTACACCAACAAGCAACTCACAAAAAGCTGGAGCAACAACATCTACTAAGAGAAGGATATTCCAGTCAGATCGAAATTTTCCACCCCGGTCCATGTCGTCTCCATACCATATACTTCGCCGATTTGATGAAAGTTCAAAGAATCCATTTACTTGCACGGTCAGACTGGTTCTCACTGGTAGAGGAAGAAAACAGAATGCAGAACCTTGCTTAAGCATATCATCCTGACAACAAGAAGAACATGATAAAATTCTTTGTTTCATTTGAAAGCAAGAAAGCTCAAATAGGCAATGTAATGTTTACTTGTGTGAGATATCTCTTCGTAGAGATTAGTAGATTATAAAACAAAGAGTGAACAACATTTTTTCAAGAAACTAATGAAATACATATGCCCATGCAGATTTTTAGGGACAGGAATTCGCATGGCAATTTAAAATCAAATGCGTAAAAGTGCTTATATTTACCACTGATAAACTTTAGGAAAAGGTTATGAAAGGATGATTTAATGAAACTTATGATATGCGCACAGTCATGGTCTAGCATAAATACTTCAAATGATAAGGCTACAATGAAGCATACAGAACTTTTAGAAAGCTTAATGAAGAGAAACTGAAATCATAGGAAAAACTGTCCAGAGAGAAACAAACAAAGAGCAGATAGTGGATTAAATCTATAGCTGATGACTGAAAAAGATGAGCGGACACGAACTTTGGCATCAGACTCCAGAATTCTAAACTACAGTTCAGTGAAATATTCCTTGAGAGTGCAGTTTATGACATTAGGAAGAAAATGGAACATTATATTTTAAACCAGTTCAATAAAGCTGCCAAAACCTGATTGTCATGTGAATGCATCATCGCTTGAATTTTAAAGTTTCTAGTTCTAACAACATCGATAACAATGACAACAACAATCGAATGATAACAATAAGATTTCCACCAAATGTGAGACGCTATATATAGCTTACCTCTTTCAAGCCATCAGAAAGGCACGCTGCAACTGATGCCCACGACAGCAGATGAAGATCATGTTCCTTTGCAGCAGCAGCAGCAAATATACCAATCCTAGAAGATGGCGATGCCAGAGTCTGTACAACAAAAAATGTATCAATCCTTTTACCCAACTCAGTTCCATGATGTACTTGGCTCAAAAAGTCCAAAGAGAAGGAATCAAAATGGCTTCCTTTAGACTCTGCTAAATTTGACAATCTTCGCAAAGCCTGGCGATGCCAAACTGTGTCCTCATTTGGTGAATCCAAAGAGCAAGAATAAAGCTTATAAGGTACTTGTTCACGAGCTTCCCAAACATAGAACTCAATTGACATAACATTCTTAAGAAAGAGCATTGTGAAAATGGATTCCTTGTAAAGTTGAGCAAACATGGAAGCAATGTCATTTTCTAGGTATGCCTGCCTTGAGAGCTGACTAATAGAAGCCTGATCTGCATTCCTCAAGGGGAAACGAAATAAAGTTCCATGGAAAGGAACTTTCATGTCACAGCCAAAGGCACAATATGGTGAAAACTGGTCCTTATGATGTACAATAGCTGCTGAGGTGACATAATTAAGACGTTTTCCAGGATTTGCTGCTGACACGTTTGGAAGATAATTGCCCTGTGGGTCAAACAACACCACATACTTCCCACTCACAAAAGACGGCAGATCAGTCAGATGATACACAGAGTTGAAGCCCACCCTAAACAAACAGATTACCAAGACATGATCAGAACATTCTTCATTTATTGATACAACATGCCTAATGCATTGGCATACACATGCTTTCCTAAATAAATTATGACCCCAGGAAGGATAGAAATCATGCAAACAGACCAGCAACTTAACAATGACACAGAATATATCAATCAAAGACCAAATTTTTCAAATAAATCATAAGTTAATTAATCTCAACTTGAAATCAAAAGAACAGCTGAAAAGAAGAATCAATATTAGACAGTAACCATTTTCTTGTAATTATCTATTGCATTAGCAGGAAAACACATCACCATTGAATAAATAACGGAACCAACAGAATGAAAGAGTGGAAATCTGCAATGCAATTAACACTTCACATTAATGAAAACGAAGTTGGAATGGAGATATCGGAATTCATAAAATTCTGGCTGCACGACCATCCTAAAATAATAGAATATACAGAAATACATAGGTATAAATGCAAGGAGCAAAGAAAATGATGCAACTAATTATTATAAACACTGAAAAATATTTGGATTTGATTAATATGAACAAAAAAAACATATAAAACATCCATAATAAGCCCAAAAAATAAAACAACAGAAACGTCAAACGAAGGGATTAGACAAATGTTGTAAACTATAGTGAAACGGAGGCTGCATAGAGGCTACACATTAACAACTTCCAATAGATAATTGCCCTGTAGTTGAACAAAGTAGTGAAAGTTTGAATCCCTCAACAAACAAATGAGGAGGTTTCATACTCCACACTGCAAGAGTAATAGGGAGAAATTCCTTAGAACATACAAGGTGATCTATAGTATTCAGTAACAATTGCTCATAACCTCAAGAGTGCTGATAGTTACATGCAGAACTAGCAAATTGATACTGCCGTTCCAGAAATGATAGTAGGCTAGTCTAAGAACAAAAAAATACTAGCTTATCAGAATGACAAGTATTAACTAAACATGAAAACTAGAAAAAGAAACATTAACAAGTGCATATTCTTCCAAGCAGTAGGGATGTAGTAGAGCTCAGCATCATCATTATTTTTCTATCCAACAATATGTAGATGTCGAGCACTTTCAAGTACCTGTGTACATCATTATATGCAAAAAGTGAACGAAGTTACTGTTTTATAATCAATTCTAACAAAACCAGATGACATAAAGCTTCAGAAAACACATAAAAGCAAGAAGTGTCTAAATGCTTACTATTGCTTTTGATAAAATATTGACAGCAAAGAGACTGAATAACAAGGAGATTACCCAAAACGACCTGTTTTCCATGCCTGCCCAAGCTTCTTACTGCCCCCTATTCGGGATATACTAACAAAATCATCTTCTGTGAACTCTGCGTCATTGTAGGCTAGCAGAGCAGGGCCCTGCCACTCTGCTAGCTTACTCGATAAAAGTGAATCCACACCATGAGACCTATGATCCAAGCACAGGCAAACTTTTTTAGCACCAGCATCATCAGCATTCTGAATCAGTTCCTTCAAAACTGTTGTTCCCTCTGGGTAATTAGCCAAAACTTCTCTGATTCTCCGTGTGAGATCAACTTTTTGGCCAAAATCCTCCAGCAACAAAGAGCCACCTTCAAGAGGCTCCATCCCCTGTAACCTTTGGGGAAGAAAATCTTAATGCCCGGAAAGTGTTTCTGTTGACAAGAGCGGTAAACCCATGGCTTGAGATTTCATGTAATTTGTATAAATTTCACAATGAAATTTCTATTCTTCAGTACAGTTTGACTAGGCCAAATTACGCAGGATAAAAATAAGAGGCAACAAATCCAAACACAGAACCAAAACCTCTATGCTCTAGGGAATACCTAAGATGAAATGGAATGCAAGAGAAAAACCCTAATGCCCACCATATTTTTGAGCTGACATTAGTAGCAACCGCATAGATTCGGAATTTGAGAAGTCTGGAAAAATGAACTTTAAATTGGTTTGGTAAACAGTTCCGTTGGGCCAAATGTGCAAGAAAAAAAAGATAACACATCAAAACCAAAAGCCAAAACCTCTACGTTTCAAGCAGTACCTGGAAGGAATCGGAATGCAAAAGAAAACAACCTAATTATTCAGGACAATACACCAATGACACAAAATGACGATGGTTAAATCCTAGTTATTAAGTTAAGAGTACAAATACGATGAACCGAGCGATAAAACTGAACAAACTTGAAAACCATAGCTCATCAAGACAACCATGTAGGCTGAATTAGAAATGAAGACCCCTGATTCGATAACTTCACTGTTCATTCCATTTACGTTGGAAAAATAACACACACACACAAGAAAAAACAAAAAGAAAAAAGAAAAGACTGAATTCTTCAATGTGCAACTGAGTTGGACCAAAATACAGCAGAAAGCCCCTGATTCTTTAAAATTTTGAAAAACTATAAGCCTAACAGCAAAAGAAACCCTCAATCCTTCAAAAACTAGCTACCTCGATATAAATCACAAAATAAAACCCTGATTTCGTCATGAATTACCAATGGTGATCCAATTCAAAGAAATGACCCCATGATTCTTCCAGAGAAGCAACTCTGCAACTAACCATTAAGCAAACAAATACAAAACACGAAATGAGATACAGAAAAGCTTGTAAACGCAAGTGTTAAAGTCATCGATCGAGCAAAGTTGCAGAGAAAACGTGGTTTCTCTCTTTTTTCTTTTGTTCTTTTCTTTTTAAACAGGTTGCAGCCCTTTTTCTTTCGTTCTGTTCTTTTTAAACAGGTTGCAGAAGTAAGGTCAATGCAGACCGGAGAGTGGCCAAGAAAACATGGAACTCGAAAAACGAAACGGAAGGCGCTTCTCAACCGAGTATTTATAAGTGCGAGTTCCCGCGTCAAGTCAAGAAAAACGCATTAGACTTTCGGGGAAAACGAAAAAACGGATCGGGAATAAATCGACTCGGGGATCGCCATGGAGGGGATTGAATCGGCGAAAAACGGGAATCGTCCGGTTTTACAGAGAACCCGGACGGTTCTGTACAGTGACTCACTGAGCCTATATGAGGAATCGGCGAGTCTGAACAGTGAATCGGCTAGTCTCGTACGGAATTTTTTTTATTTTTTATTTTTTATTTTTTATTTATTTATTTTTTTTTATTTTTTTATTTTATTTTTTATTTTTTATTTTTATTTTATTTATTTTTATTTTTTTTTATTTTTTTTTTTGTAATCCATGATAGATTTTTTTGTAATACTTGATCGAAATTTTTGTAATCCATGATCGAATTGTTTTTTTTTTTTTGTAATCCATGATCGAATTTTTTGTTTTTGTTTTTTTTTTGTAACCCATGATCAAATTTTTTGTAATCCATGATCGAATTTTTTGTAATCCATGATCGAAATGTTTGATTTTTTTCTTGTAATCCATGATCAAATTTTTTGTTTTTTTTTTTTTTGTTAACCCATGATAGAATTTTTGTAATCCATGATCGAAATGTTTGTTTTTTTTTTGTAATCCATGATCAAATTTTTTGTTTTTTACTTTTTTTGTAACTCATGATAGAGTTTTTTGTAATCCATGATTGAATTTTTTGTAAACCATAATCGAATTGTTTTTTTCTTTTTTTGTAATCCACGATTTAATTTTTTGTTTTTTTTGTTTGTTTTTTTTTGTAATCCATGATCGATTTTTTTTTGTAATCCATGATAGAATTTTTTGAAAATTTGTGATTTTTTTTTTTTAATCCATGATCGAATTTTTTTTTGTAATCCATGATAGAATTTTTTGAAAATTTGTGATTTTTTTTTTAATCCATGATCGATTTTTTTGAAAATTAGTTTTTTTTTTTTAATCCATATTATTCAAATAGAAAATGAGAGAGACGATGATTCTGAGGCCACCCTATCCCAACCATATTATTCAGCAACAGTGTAGGGATGAACACGACAGTACAGGTGAGCATGACGGATGGACAATCTTCGGGGATTTTAGATTGGGAACACAACAAAACACTAACACTCAAGGATTTGGGAATAGTCAGACGCCTGCTAATATCGATGATTCGTTTTTAGATCGAATCAACGAATTGTTAAACGAATTCAATCAATGGCACTAGCGTGACCAAGAAGAACAATAACGTCGTCTATCATTTTATTTTTAGATTATATGTTACTAATTTTATGCTTTATTGTAGTCCATGTATGTTGATATACTTATTCCATGATAATTATATGTTTATCCTTTTGTGTGATGTAAATTAAATGCTGAATGGCGATTCATGCAGGGAAAGAACATATCAATATTGACATATTCATTAAAAAACATGAAAATTCTTAATGGAGCACCCTCATTTCTTATTGAATTCTTAAAAACAATATTTATAATAAATTTTAATAATTTTTTCGGATTTTTTTTAAGCTTTATTATGACCAATTCACCCGATTCCCGATCGGATCGCCGATTAGCCGATCCGGATCGGTTTTTTGGAAGCCCGATCCGGGTCACCGATCCGTTTTTTAAACCATTGGGCCGCACACGTAGTTATCACGATGTGGTCTCCATTTTCACTAATAACATTACGCTACTAACACTTTCGGGCAAGCTTTCTATGCTTTCTCTAAAGTATAGCATTACCCAACTAACACTTTTGGGCAAGCTTTCTATGCTTTTTCTAAAGTATAGAAGTTCTATCATCTCTCTTATCCAACCATCCATTTTGAATAGAATATTAGGACTGCTTCAATCACAATATCCAACCATCCATTTTGAATGGAAGGTTAAGATTGCTTCAATCACAATATCACGTCACTGTATTATTTTATTTTTTATTTTTCTCTATAAACTATTTTGACACCAAATTCTAGATGTCTATTCTTTTATTAACCTCGCACTATTGAAAAATATAAAAAAAAATATGTTTCCAATAAAATAAAATAACCAAAAATACTTTTGAAAGTTTCAAAAGGTATTTTGGTCATTATATTTTATCGAAAAATTATTTTTAATATTTTTTATAGGTGCGCCCCAATGAGAAGAAAAAAATATTTTTTCAATAAATAAAATAACCAAAATACCTTTGAAAGTTTCAAAAGGTATTTTGGTCATTATATTTTATCGAAAATTTATTTTTAATATTTTTTATAGGTGCGCCCCAATGAGAAGATGGTATGTACCAAATTTCATATTTGTACAATTTTTATAAAAAACTAAAAATAAAATACTTTGAGACATCAAATCTAAGATAAATAAAATGTTTTGAGACAACGGATCTAATATCAGACAGTGAATGGCTCTCTTGATCAGAATTGGATAGCTGGATGGTAGGGGGGATAGAACTTATATGCTGTAGGGGAAGCATAGAAACCTTTCCCAACACTTTCAAACATCGATGAGGTAGACGCCTGACTTCCCCATTGAATTATCAGAAAAAATAAAATAAAAAAAAATGGACATGCCTTCCCCATTCAATTATTTAGAAAAAATGAAAATTGCGACCACCCTGTGGCGCTAGCATAATGACTAAGAAAGTTGGAGAAAGCGGAGTATTTTCTCAATAACTATTTCTTTTGTTTTTTTGGTAATGAGAAAAAAAAGTGTGGTAACAAAGCTTTGCCCTTTTTATTTTCACATTTTAAAAAAAAAACTACAGTGTAAAGGGTGTGTTGTCGATTTCTCAAAAAAAAAATACAAAATACAAGACCCCTTTGTCCCTTTTTTTTTTTTAATCTAACCTCGCAATCTCTCTCCCTTGTCAATCTCTCTACCAAGCAGTGGCGCAAGCTTTCTCTAGTTTTCACATATATTATCAAACAAGGAAACTCAGCTTCTAGCCGCAAGGTTTCAGCTTTTTAGGTTCCCCATGGAAATAGCTTTCTCAGTTGCCAAATAAGGCCAAAGTAATTGGGACCACCAACGGACATGGCTTGGTCCCGGGGCTGGTAGGAAACGGTGTGCATGAAGCCCAGCTCGAATCTAGAATATTGAGGCCCGAGCACTTAGGCCGGAAAAATTTAAGGCTCAGTTGGATCCATCCATATCTAAAAAGTAATATATTACACTACACAAAAGAAATATACTTAATGATTTATAAATGTTTTGGTGCTAAATCTAGGCCTGGTCAAGGCCCGACCTCCTGAAACTATATTAGCCTCACCGGACCTAGCTTGTTGGTCTTAGACCAAGCTAGCCTGGAAGCCTACAAGCCAGGGCAATACCTCTGGGCACCCTAATAGTAATACAATAATTATAACTAATGTTTCAAAACTCCGATTGGCCGATCACCATCGGGACCGATTCAAATAGGGGTTTTGAAAATTTATTTTAAAATAAAATAATAAAAAAATATAGGTTTTTCTTTTTTTGGAAGTGGAGTGGTGGTTAGACATATGGGTTTCAGGGTCCTAGAAAACATTGACAAGATATAGATAAGCAATTCTTTTCTAGATGAGTGGGTTTTAAAATAGGACAAACTTTCTATACTTCCCCTGAAGCATAGAAGTTCTATCATCCCCTTATTCAACCGTCCATTCTGAATTGAGGGTTAAGATTGTCTCAATTACAATGTCACGTTTCTACACTATTTTATTTTTATTTTTTTCTATAAACTATTTTTACACCAAATTTTAGAGGTACGTTCATCTATTAAACTTGCACTATACAAAAATATAATATATATATATAAATATGTTAGATAAAATAAAATGACCAAAATACCCTTAAAAGTTTTAATGAGTATTTTGGTCATTATATTTTATCGATAAATTATTTTTAATATTTTTTATAGGTGTGCCCCAGTGAGAAGATGGCATGTACCAAATTTCATATTCATACAATTTGTATAAAAAAAAATTAAAAATAAAATGCTTTGAGACGTCGAATCTAAAATCAAACAGTGAGTATCTCTCTCTATAAAAATTGGACGGCTAGATGGCAGGGGAAGGATAAAACTTCCATGCTACAGGAGAAGCATAGAAACCTTACAGGAGAAGCATAGAAACCTTTCGCTTTAAAATATTGCTACTCATCTCGATGTAGAATAAGTCATTTGACATTCAAATCCGGACAATCTCTATTATCTATTTTAAATTGATGGTAGTTGAGTGGATATGTAATATAATAACCACCGTCAGCAATGCACCGAATGCTCTTCATTTAAAGGAGGACATGACAAAACTTATTACCTATTCTAGGGCTTCCCGCAATTCCCCAACCATATACCTAGATGCCTTTAAAATATGAATTTTATCTTCTATGTAGGCTCCACTTTCTAATTGTTTTACATATGGATGTATATATGAATTTTATGTTCTGTGTGGGCTCCACTTTCTAATTATTTTACCTATGGATACATTTATATAGAAGCATGGGAGCTTCCCATAGACATTTTCTCATTTAAAAAATTGGGAAATCGTGGTATTAGCACCCCAATAATACCACTTCATTAATATCTTAAAAAAAAGCTAATTCCTAATCTATTTACAAAAATAGGTAGGGGTTTGTCTTCCCCATTAAATTACACAAATATTAACAATAAATAAGTCGAACTTCAAATATAACATTGCTAACTCCAACTACTAACCACTTTTTGCATGAGTATTATTTTTTCCATCTCACAATTTTACCCTACTACATGGAACATTGCAACCTATACCAAGGTTCGATGCTAGATATGTACTTTACCTTATTGGGCTTGTGTTCAAATTTAACGTAAAATGATTATAGAAAAACCGAGTTTACCAAAAACTCATGTAGACCTATATCCATTTTTCCAAAAAGTTGAGGAGTTAATTTTTTTAATATGTTAGTAAGAATAAAAACCACAAC